ATTCTGCCATTTCACTGGCTAAGAATGGACCTTGAACTTCACCCTGTGGATCACGGTAAAACCATTTCTCCTGTCCATTCGTGGATGTAACTGTAGAAGATTGGTTACCAATAGAAGGCGGTATACTAGCAGTCTTCTCTCTATGATTTTCTTCATCTGCCATCAATTTTGCAACTAATGCGTCCGCTTCTTCCTTCATTCTGTCTAAATCATCTTCCGACTTATGCCTTACGTTATCCATTTCCGCGCTATGTACGACCCTTTGAGATTCCGTTTGCACCGGAACTTGTCTTTTCGCAGTAGTAGGAATCGGATCCAACTTTGTTTCCGTTTCAATATCTTCTTTTTTCTTTTCTTTAGTGGGAGATTTATTGGTTCCTGAATCGGACGATGGCATTTTTTCAGTCTTCGTATGCTCCGTACTTGTTGCTACTGTATTTCTTTTCTGTGAAGTTTCAGATGATGTTGACGTCAAAGTTTTAGTAGCAGTATTATCCGTTAAAACTGTAATGGGCAGTTTCGTTGGAGAACTGCTTCTCCTTTCTTTCTCGATGCATTCATTTTTATCATCGAGCGGATGTAAGGACTTTGGTCGTTCTTTACTAACTGAACTAATTCCGCTATTGGAATTGCGACCCGCTGTTTGTCCCTGAGTTGAACTATAAGATAAAGGTTTGCTACTAGGTTTTTTAATATTAGTAGCGCTTCCTTCGGAAACACGCCGAGTCCTTGATTCTTGAGTACCACCTGCACTAATCACTCCATCTTCATCATCATCTGAATACATTCCACCGTGAAAAGCACCTGAAGCATCGAAACTTCCTCCACTTTCGCTAGGATTTTCAGTAGCCCTAGAATGAATTTCAATCATTAAACATGATTAAAATATATTTAATTTCCTAGTAGATTATATTAGTGATAAAAACAATTAGAAAGTCACCATTCGGGAAGATTGTCATGATTATTATCATGATGATTTGAATCCCAACTGCGCGTTGTACGAGGGGGCGGATGATGACTTGAATCATGTGTAACTCTATGACTACCACGATGTTCCCATCTACTACCACTACTTCGTCCTTCTTCTCCATCTCCTTCATTTCTTTCTAATCTATCTCTATCCATACTCCCACTTTCGCGCCAACTACTCCTACCTAAAATACAAATTGATTATTACATAAGCAATATTCTTTACTTAATTATACATATGCAGAACTGAAGATACACGTTTATATACCCCATTTCCGCCAACCGTCATCGTCTTCTGTACCACCACGATGACGCCGCCAATTACTTTCCATAAGAGAACTACCACTAGCCCCACGACTTAATTCTTTTCTAGGACTAGTAGAACCATTCCATTCACCTGGATCTGAGGCTCCATTTCTTTCTGACCAACCACGTTCACTTTGCGACCTATCAAATGGGCGATTTCTTCCCTAGATATCAAAATATATTCACTGATCAATTAAAAGAATAATTCTTCTTTTACTGAAAATCTTTTCTATAGAATGAAACAAACTACATACTTGAAATGGTTGACTGTCAATTCGTGATCCATCTCCTGAATCATCGAAACCAACGCCACGGGAATAATGAGAAGAATACAAGCTGCCTCTTCCACTTCTTCCACGTCCTCCACGATCTACACTTCCACCTCTTCCTCGACCGCCATTAGTTATTCCTCCGTTCCACATCCGCTAAAAAGATTGTATGATAATGCAATGAATATATTTTTAATTTGCCAAATAATTTAATATTTAATATTAATATCTAAGAAATGTATATACTATATATATGTCAATAAATGAGAGGTAACATTTTAATTTGTAATGGATACAAAATTGAAAGAAGATATAACATAGAATGATAATAAACTAGTAATGATTATGTAAAATATACAACAAGTAGGAGAGTGCTATGAAGAACTGGCACAAGGGCTCCAGTGTGTTATATTTTTAGATTCAAACTAACTTGAGGCAGTACACAATATAGGATGTATTAAGAATATATATAAATCGCTAAATACACAATATTAATTAGCATTCTAAATAACAATTAATGCATGTGTAATCATAATATTGCAAAGTATGATAGATTAACAATCATATATAAAAAAAAGTTATTTTCTTGATACATCTACTTATTATAACTAAATTACTTGTCATAAATAAATATAAATATCCTTTAAATTTCAATATAAATATCAAATTTGTGAATGCAAGAAAAGAATACATGGTTAATTACCGTTTCATCTTCTGTCATTTGTATAAGAGCTAAAGGAAGTTGAGTTTTCTCAACATATAATGATGAGAAATTTGTCAATGGTTCAGGAGGTTTACAATTACGGTCAAACAGGATCAACATTTCTTCTCGCCCGTATCTATGTTCAGCTAATTGATAACGTGGAGTTGTTAAACTTGCAGCACCTCCACCACCACCGCTACTATTGCAAGTATCTCCAGACAAATTGCGCAACCTATATGTTCATCATAACAAGTAAAATGTATAAGCAAAGAAATACACTGAATTAATAATTGTATTAAATATATAAAACATTACAAACCATTCTGGACCAAATTTCATAGAATCCGTCATGATGATCTATTTGCTGAAGACATAATATTTTATCATAGAATAGAGTTTTCGAAAGATTATTATCATGTTGGGAATTATATTTCTAAACTCACATGTAAATTAGTTAGAAAAATATAGTAGTAAAAATAATATGTATGATTAACAAATATTTAGCTTTTCTGTCTTAAGAAATGACACCAATAGAAAACACAATGATGTGGGAAAATATTACCTGTATCAAGCATATCTTATGACAATAATCACAGATATTCAAGATAAACCTAATTGGTATAATTATAGCAAATTGTATCGACAATCTTTACCTGTTGCTCGACGAAAATCGCGCAACCACGATGATCAATAATAATTACAACGATATAAATTTAATGTTATCATGAAAGGCATAGAACTGAGATATATAAAAAGTATGAAGTAAAAGTGAGCGAAGGTAGGAGAGGACGGCAGACGATGGCAAAGTATTCATAAAAGTTGTGATTCTTTTGAAAATCAACCAATACCTAACAATGATTATTTTAAACGAAGAAACAACAATGTAGAAGAAGGTGTAAATATCCTATGAACATTCCAGTTTAGTGAAAATAGTACGCATTTATTTACGACATGTTCTTAAACAGACTGATTTCCGTGAGCCCAGGTGGCAACATTAACCAAACTTTTTCCGCTCATGAATGTCATAAAAGTCCATAAGTGGCCAATCTATTTCGACTAAATATCATACTGGCAATCCCGATTATTCGTAGTGCAACGAATATGAAAAAGATCGTATGATGAACGCGAAAAATACCTCACTGATCTTCGAAATTACTGAGGGCAGCGATACAACACACCAATATGGCTGATAGTTTTTTTAGAATAAAGCGCATGCGGAGTTGCTGGTATACCTGATGTATTGAAAAGTTACTAGCGACATATGCTATTTTTTTAGTCACTATCAGCTGAAGATATTTTTTTAATATGTATGTATCTTTATGATCTTAGAATTAACTTTCTAACTGGATCGGTACGTTAGAAGCAAAGGAATTTTTTGTATTCGTTAATGTTTCCTTCTTATTGTCGTTTATTTTTGATAAATTAAATTTTAACGACCTCTTTTTGAGATTTAAATTTCCAAAATTCAATGTCATCAAATACTGAAGTGTTATAGATATTTATGTTATAATATACGTATACAATAAAAAGATATTGAAATTAATTTTTCGGATAGAGTATAATATATTTAAATTTCCTAATCATTTTAAAACTATCATGTATGACCCTCAAGCTACATTACTTTTACAGTTTTACGTCTTTTGTTGCAGCATGTCGCTTAATTTTTATAAAAACTGTACAATGATATACTGCATATTAGAAATTCATTCTATATATGTGAAAGAATATTAAATAAATAAAGATTTTTCATGAATAAAAATAGATAAAGTAGGACGCTACTGAATCAAACAAAATAATGTGGTTTTTTAACTATAATGCCATATTCTGCAACTGCTGGGGTCAGATCTTCCATGGTAAGAGTATAACGTCGATCTTTTCCTTTCGTTTTTGTATTCTGATTGGCTCCACGTGTTTTACAGTGTTGCAATGCATCGTTTGCTATTTCAGATATAAATTTTTGCGCAGCTAGTGAAACCAATCTCACTCTAAAATCGTTATACACATATTTATGAAACAGTAATCATTAAAGTTTCATTTATATATTAATCAAGCTTTTTGCAAATTACTTACATTCTGGGATCTGTCGTATTAAAACCAGCAGTATGTAAATAATGTTCACTAACAGCATCCGGTACCTGTTAAAAGAATCATTTGATATTACCGATTATACTATTAATAATAATGAACAAACTACAATTATAATGTTTCATTTGCCTACTGTTGGCGTATAATCTTCGAGTTGTAGTAAAAAATCCGAAAGGGGTTGTCCAGCAGTTTTTGTTTCTTCATTTGCTGTGTACATAGGTGGTGTATCCCTTCCAAAATCTTCTGCCATTTTAATTTATCTTTTCCTATACGATATCAAAACATTACGTAGAAAAATTTGACTTAGAATAACATTCATAAACAAATAATTTTTCATACTACAAAATTAAAATGATTTATAAGGTATAAATTATAACCTCCGACAATAAAGGTATCAAAATTTCTTTCAGTAAATGTTTCAAGTTCTTTCAGACAAAAATCTTTTGCTTGACTCTTCTAAATATTAATGGAAAAAGATATTCTTGAAATAACGGCAGAACATACCTAAAATATTAGCGTCCTGTCCGTGAATATATATTAAAGGAATCTACATGCATATAAACAAAGAACGAGTACTTGAGAATTCTCTAAACCGGAAGGAAGCCTAGGGAATAAACGTAGGGCCTAAGGAATAAATGTCAAGAGAATATATCGATCGATTACTCGCATTTAATTCAAATAGTGCAAGTAGTTATTTATTTTTCATATGATTTTTTTCTTTTTATACAATCATAATAAGTAAACGGTAATTTAATGCAAGAAAATGCTTAAAACATACTTGAGATTTAACTATTAACATAATAAATATAATAGTAGAATATAAATAAATCATGTTGGTAGTGGGTTTTTTAATGTCAATGTTGGAATCCAAGAATCTTTCTTCAAGTTCTCATACTTAAGTTTATTTATTAACATACTTTGTATAACCTGTTCAGCAGTATGAGTCAGACCATAATAATCCACAAACATACCATCTGGATCAACGAGATATATGATTATCGTATGATCAACCTAGAATATGACAGAAATAAAGTGATTTTATATTCAAAGATAGAATTTAAGCTACTTATAAGGAAGATAAATGACTAACAATATAGTCTGAATCTTGATCCTTGGGCCCATTGCTGTAGTATACTCTATAAGCTTTGCATACTTTAGCAACTTGTTCTTTGGTTCCAGTAAGGCCAAGAATTTTGTCAGAAAATTCTTTAACATATTTGCCTACAACTTCTGGCGTATCTCTGTCAGGATCCACAGAAATAAATATAGGCTGAACTTTTGTATTATGCTGGGTCTCTAAAAAAGTAATTTAATATAAAAGATGAGACATATACATTTTTTACATATTGTCATTTAAACCTACCCAACTTATCAACAATTTCTGTCAGTTTTTCAAGTTCATCAGGACATATGTCAGGGCAATGCGTAAAACCAAAGTATATTAAAACCCACTGTCCTAAAAAATCATCTGACTTCCATACTTGTCCTTTAGAATCAACTAATTCAAATTTTCCACCAATTGCTGCCTTGCCTAGCTCACGTCTTCTCTCACGTTCTATTTCTTTATCTTTTGATTCTTGAAGATAATACATATACATTAAAAGAACTGCACATCCTATGCTCGTAACTGCTACACTTTTCCATGTGATAACACTGTTTCTAAAGATGGATTGTTTTTCACTTGATAATGAGCGTATTTCATTGGATTTATGTAAAGGTGTAAAAATATTTATGGTTCTAACGTTATCTTGCGGATAACATTGCCAAAAATTTGGTGAATGTCGAAATGTAATTGTCTGTAAATAATATTAATTTTATTATTTTGTGTTTGTTTTGTTCTTTTATGAAAGTAATCCCATTTGAGTACAATTATTTCGAATAACAATTACTTACACTTCTAAAAGCTTGATTCGAACGTTTTAAAAGAAGAAGATTTTTTAAGCAAGACATTGTTATTTGTTGCACACAATTAGTTTGATCGATTTAAAATCATGAATAGGTTATGTTTCCATTGTATGTTATCGCACCTGACTTTATATAGACTATTTCAAATACTCGTTTCTTCTTTTTCCGGAAATGATTTAATTAATTAATGGGTTATATAAAAAATGAATCCTGATACATTATAGAAATTGATGGTAAAATTTATTATTAGAAAATTGTTGAATTAACAAGTATTTTTTTACTCGAACCTTTTTTTATTTTTTTTAGTATTTTGTATATAATAAATATTGTATTAAAATAACTTGTCTTTTCTACATAAATGAGCTTGTTCTTATAAAAAGGCGCACTGTTCTTGACGAAGTATTATCAAATTTTCTTCGAAATTTAGGCCAGTATTTCGAGTACAATATTTCCATCTAAATATGCAAATAAAGCGTTAATTAAAGATTAATTAGTTTTAGATAACTAGCATTTACGTACTTGTTGCCTTTTCTATCCTCAAGAGTAAGAGTGTCTATTAACAACATATCCGAGTTAGAAATTATAGTCGCATCTTCGTTTTTTTCATTCTTATCTTTTTGGTACCAAATACGTGCTTCTATCGTTGATCGGTTTTTCGATAAAAATTGAAATTCTGCTGCACCAATATCGTAGAATGTCGTCGATTTATTTCTTCGAGTAGATATCCTTGAACACATAATATTTCGTCAAAGTTATTTATAGATACATATATGGAATAAAATTTCCAAGTGTATCGCAATAATAATGATAAATTTTTTACGAATCAAGATCGCGTATTAGCGTTATTAAAGTATATCTTACGTGCATCGAAACTTGAAATTTATTGTTGAATCACGTTCCACAATCTTTAAGAATAACATTCCTGATGTCTTTGTCGCCGTTTCTGAAATTGTCACCGATGCTCTCAAAGGCTGGCCTAATAAGAACAAACAAATAAAAATCGAGTTGCAAATATTTTACATACAAGTTGACTTTACCACAAAATGGTTCTTGATCTCTCGTGGGCAAATAATAAATTCCTAAAGGGCCGCGATTAGCTCTGTAGCCCATTTCTTGGGACCATAGCGTAGATTCCATAGGAAAACACATTCCATTCGTATACGAGATCGTTCCTTGGGGACAAGGCCAAGCAATAAATTTACAAGATTCATTCGTTGTACGTATGCTTTCCAAAAAATATGCCCAAGCTCTTAAATGACTACAAGCGATCTCTTTCGTTAACATATCCTCTGAAACATTATTATTTTTATAATTAAAAAAATTTCAAATAACTTGGATCGCGTCGGTCAACAAACATCTAATCACGTACCTTTCAAATGGCTAACAACAACAGAATTCTTCACATCCTTGCAACCTGGCTGCTCTCTACCGCCGTTTGGGAAGAAATCGATATGACCAAGTGGCTTTAAAAGACCAAATCCATCTGCAAAGTCCTGGGATCCATCCGTATGAATCACATCTACTAACCGAGCATCGGTAGCATCTAATTTCCTGGACTTCTCTCTAACCAAATGATTTCTAAAAAAGGGTGACGCAGGATCTAGGCCTGTTATACGACCTAGAAGAATACTTTTCTTCTTGAGGATCTCTGAGGCACAGCCAGCCACATGAGCTCCGAGACTAAAGCCAATCACGTGAATGTTTTCAGCAAGAGTACCCAAATTAATAGCGTCTAAAAGGACTAGACCTAATTGCCGTCCTACGAGTTCCGTGTTCGCCACTGCTGCTGAATAGGTCGTTGCTGCTCCTCTTGTCCAATCAAGCACCAAGATGTTCGTATCTTCCTAATGGATATGCCACCATTTATCTACGTAAGTTGTTCTGATAAACGAATTCTCTATCGATCGACAATAGACATTCGCTTCTTGTTAATTACCAAGTCCAGAAGAGCCTGTACCAAAAGAACCGCACCAATATCGCTACCGCTTCCTTTATAGCCGTGTATTACGACTTTCAGAGGTTTCGTCGAATCAAATTCTGATTGAAGAATGGATTTCAAATCATCACCATATTGAAGGCTTTTAGGGGATTCTCGTCTAGAGCGAGTGTACAATAAAAATCTCGTTTGAATTATGCTAGGATGCTCCGGCGGCCTTTTCAACGTCAAACGGGGCGGTGGATCCGCAAAGCAGCCAACTGATTCTGCAATTTCCACTTCTTTTATATTTCTTACTTAATTGGACGAATACTGCTTCTTATGCTATACATACCAAAGCAAATTTTCGTTTTCAAATGTCCAAGACCAACTCTTATTCGCCGCACCATCGCTCGACTCCTTCCAGGGAATCTTGCTGGGAAAAGAAGAGAATTTAGTTTCTCAGTGACAATCAACTATTCTTATCTTCATTAAAAGCTTGCTTACCAGCACGATTAACTTCGACGATCCAAAGAGCAAGAAGCATTAAAATGACGAAGCGTATCACTAACGCGAGTTGCATCTTTCATTTGTTCTCTTCGAATCTTGGTCGCATCCGATGGAGGCTATTAGCTATTTTCCTTTTCCTCTTTCTCTTATGTTTGTTCGTCACTCCCCTTCTTCTCTTAGGCTACTAACGCGATTCTCTATTTAATCTTCTCTATTCTACCTACAATGGAAAACTAAAGCGCAGTACAAATGGTTGGATGAATTTTTTCCACCTTACTATTATAGCAAAGGTACCATCCTTTTGCGCAATCGATTTTCCGCTAGCGAGCACGCGACAACCAGTTTACTTCCTATCTCACTGAATTTATACCTGTTGTTGTATGAATTATTATTTATTAAATAAGGATTAAATGGAGGATCAAACTACATATAGCTATTCATAATCGTCGCTCTACTTGCGGTTCGTACGTTCTGATAGCAAAGCGAATTACTTTAACAATTCTTAGTTCACCTTAGAACAGTAGAATGTGTTAAATACGTCAAATGATAGGTATCAATGGAATTTGGAAAGAAATATGCGTTGAACCAAATGCTCGGCTCATATGCTTTCTTTCAAGTCACAACGATTATGACCTTCTTTTTCACCATCCAATATGACGCAATATTTCCAACTTTTCTCGTGTGCAAATAACGGTTTCTTCTGCATATAGAGACGTTCTACTTTCACTCGAACGATTTCACTAAAATTGTTGCGGGCAGACAAATGAAGAGTCAACTTGTTAATGTACAATCCTCGTTTACAGAAATCTATTATTGCGATGAAAATTATATAATTTCATGTTATATTATATCAATTTTATAATTATAACTATATACGTACGTACGTAATATGGTTTATCACTTCATAGTAAAAGCCTATTGAGAGAAGTTTCGAAACTGGGACGAGATTTTGTAGCGAAGCTCTGATGTTCAGGAAGTCGAGAGTCGCGGACTGTCTTTTACCGAAGATCTGTTAAACCGGACGAACGAGTTTCACGATTGTATTTTAAAAAATAAGCTTATCAGTGAAGATTTGCCAAGTATCTTCCGTTTATAAAATTAAACTGCAGCAATTCCTTCTTATGCATGCCTAAATATTGCTCAGCAATGAAGTTACCTAAATATCATCTTGCAAAAAAAGAGAAAGCAATCAGACTGCATTTTTTTTAATCCTAAATACCTTATTATGTAGTTAGGCATCCTTTAAATCTGTAACAAGTACAGTGGATCACAAAGTATTCGAGCACTTACCAGAGAAAATATTTAGACAACAATAAATAATAACTCAAAAGTTTTTTCTACTACTTATTTTTCTACTTATCTGTACATGTATAGCATAGTGAAACATAATGTAACACATTTTTGTTGGTCTTTGTACATTTACTGAAAATATAGAGTTTAGAAATTGAAATTGTAAAATGTTCGAATCTTTTTGTGATCGATTGTATACATATACAGAAAAATGCCTAAAAATGTCTAAAAATGTTAAAAATGTATATTTTTATGAATAGTGAGATAAGAAGTATGCCCATTCTTCACAGTGTATCAGCGTAGATATCTTCACAGTGTATGAATTGATACATATCAGAATTTTTCATACCTCAAAAGTTGTAACACCTGCAACATTTATTGATATTTTTCATTGGCTGTTTATCTTGTGTTTATCTTTAAATCGAGTAACCGATCAAAGTCGCAAATCAAAAATTAAAAATCATTGTTTTTCATCAGCTACAGTCTGTATATACCTATTCCCTTTCTGCTTGAAAAAGAGAGAAATCCGAAGATCTATAACAACAAAAATTAGATATAAATTATATCTCGTAATATCAATAAAAGATTTATCTTCGTAGCAATTTAATAGCCAAGTGGTTTATATATGTAGACAACATTTTGATCTGATACTCGATAACTGATAACAACTTAATGCGCTACTTTGTTTGCACAAATACATCTGGCAATGATTCTTTATATAAGTCTATGAAACAATTCGAATTGCTTGAAGACGTACTGCCCACGATGATGTTCAAGATATCTATTTTATGTTGCGCGTTGCCGGTGATTTTAGGAGGGCCATTTACAGGACAACAGCATGAACCAAATCACATCGCTAATACCGCATCTGACTTTAATGTTCTAACTCCTGTAAGTAAATTTTACTGAGATCGTCATATAATTCCTAGTATTTACGTTGAAATAAGAGCCAGCATTTCTGCAGAAAGAACTTGCAGAAAAAGCGGGATACATAGCCGAAACTCATCGAGTCGTCACAGAGGATCGGTATATTTTGCAACTGGATAGAATCGTAGGATCGGACAAAATACTTCCATCTGACGATAAGATAGCTGTATTACTTGTCCATGGTGTTTTTGATTGCTCGGCTTCGTGGCTTTTGTCAGGTCCTGAAAAGAGTTTAGGTATTATCAATTTACTATTCGTCTATAGAATAAACTTTTTTAAGTGCCATCATTTGTTTTTTCTTTTCTTTCTTTTTTTTTTTTTTTTTTAAGTCATCGATTTTTGGAATAGATTTACATTTCCAAGGAAAAACAAATTTACGCTAATTTTAATCCTTTGCAACTTGGCTGTTGTCCTTGAAGGGACACAAAGAGAATACTGTGATTATATAGCACAAACTCCACACAAGGTCCAAATTTTTAAAAAATATATGTTCCCTTCGCATTGTACGAAAAGAACAAATAAAAATAATTGAAGAATATGCCGAGTGCAAAGGGTTAAATGATATCCGATTAATATTTTTCTCCAAATTTTAGGTTTCATATTAGCAGATTGGGGATACGATGTATGGTTGGGTAATGTGCGTGGCAACAGGTACTCACAAAACCACTTGGATTGGACTGTTTCAGAGCCAGATTTTTGGATGTTCAGGTATAATTGGAATAATCGTTCGTTAAAACGCATTTTGACAATCGATACGATTGCCGCACCGTTACTTCCTGATAATACAACGATTGTTACTTTCGTACAGTTGGCATGAAATTGGAGTGTACGATCTGCCAGCGATGATCGACCATATCCTCGCTCAAACAAAAAAAGAGAAAATCTTCATCATATCACATAGCCAGGGTGGTACGTCGTTCTTTGTAATGGCTAGCGAACGGCCAGAGTATCAAGAGAAGATTATCGCTTCTTTTGCTTTGGGTCCAGCAGTCTTCATGTCCAGGACAAAAAGTCCTCTATTCCGTGCTTTGGCTCCTTATTCCAACGATATCAATGTACGCTCTAGGAGCTGCATTTACTAATTTTCATATCAAATCAAACGATGCTGAATTTTTCTCATCTTTGGTCTTTTTTTTTTTTTTACAGTTCATAACAGATTTGATAGGCATGTATGAATTCAAACCATCGGATAAACTCATACAGATGCTTGGAACAATGGTGTGTGATAAAGAAGCACTTTTGCAACCAATATGTAAAAACATCGTATTCTTGTGTGCTGGCTTCAGTAAAGAACTTAATACGGTAATCATATGCATGTGCATTCAATGTAATCACCATACATATACAATAGTTTTAACTTGATTCTAATTCGTAGACTCTATTGCCTGTTATTGTGCAATATGATCCTGCTGGTTCATCTGTTAGGCAAATCGCACATTATGGACAATTGATTAGTTCAGGTTGATATTCAGTAATATAATTTTATAAAATGTACAACCTTTTGCTTTTTCCAAATTACATCTTTTCTTCTCACAGGCAAGTTCCGGAAATTTGACTACGGCCTTGTCGGCAACATGAAAAGATACGGTACGATACATCCTCCTGATTATAATTTGGCCAACGTTAAGCTACCAGTGTATTTGCATTATAGTGCCAGTGATATGTATATCGATGTTCAGGTTCGTATGCTGTTTATCGCGCTGCTTCAGTTTCTACTGAATTCTTCAAGTTTCTCTTCCCTGTTGATATCTTTACAGGACTTGCATCAATTGTACAGAGCACTACCCAATGCTCAGAAATTGTTAGTTCCATCCGACAGCTTTGGGCATATTGATTTCTTATGGGGCAAGCATGTAGATGCTTGGGTATACAATGAAATTTTAAGTCTCATGGAAAATCACAAAAAATGAATATTATTGGACTATGAAGTGGAAATTATGTTAATAAAAACATGACTGGCCATAAATTTGTATATTGTACCATAAATAAAATCAACTGCTTTGTCAATATTCAAAAATCAGATGAACATTCTAATCAGAAAAGTATTGAATGAATCTATTCAGTGTATAAGAACCATATTATGTGATTATAAGAATGATTAAGACATCAATTATGAATTTTATCTTGTAATTATCTTATATTCTTTACATGCGTAATCCATTAAACGATCAGCAAGAATATACATATGTATCAATTAATTAAAATATATTAATTCATAAGCTTTTGAATTATTCCCATGCTTTCAGTTGTGAATGCGTGTGAATTTTGAACATTCGTAACAAACGCATTATGATTGAGAAATAATATAGGCTTCTTATACATATATTCTTGTACATATATCATTATCACTTAATGACAAAATCCGCAATCACTTAGTTGCCATACAGCGTGTTTCACTTAACTCTAGTACCGTAAATATCTCGCTTATTATTGATAGACAAAATTTCAGAGAAAAACGTTATCTGATTTGAGAGGGCAAATATGATGGTAAATATGAGATTTACCTCAAGGTCATAGATTTCGAGATTTCAAGGTCATTGCTGTTTTTCTAAGCGCGATTACATACAGTCACGAACAAAAGTATTGGCATACTCTTTAAAACGGAATAACATTCCTAAAATTGGACCAAACGACTCGAATTTTTTTTTTTTTGATAAGTTAAAAGAATTAGTCTACCGATGCGTAGGAAAAATTTTTAAAAAATTGCAGTTGGCAGCAATCGCGAAGAAAATAATAAAGATCACCTTTCGGAACTTTTTTATCTGTATCTCTAATGGAAATTTAAATAACACATCTTGAAGAGTTATGTTAGCTATGTACATGTTGGAAATTTCATCGAAATCAGCTGGTGTAGAATCAAATAACAGGCATCGAAAGATAAATAAGAATCTATAATTAATAAAGTTATAGAAAATTATAACTTTGAATCGTTTTTAATCGTTTTTAGCTCGTGGTAATGTTAACCGATTTCGGTGAAATTTTCAACATGTATATAACTAGCATAAATGTACAAAATGTACTTTTTAAATTTTCATTACAGGCTCGGATAGAGTTACCCTTACTATCTTCTTCGCGATTCCGACCAACTGCAATTTTCCTAATATCCTTTTACACATTGTCTAGTAAACTAATCCTTCTAACTTGTCAAAACAAAAAATTCAAATCGTTGGTCTAATTTTTAAAAAGTTACTCTGTTTTAAAGAGTATATATTTATTCCTGGTCGTATATATTTTTATTATCATGGCGTTAGCGCTGCAGGTACGATTAATCCAAAAACTTATAATATTATGCATTCATATGATCTTGAATACCAAAAATTCATAAATGTTTAGCGTGGTCGATGAAGAAAAACTTACTTCACAAGTGTTCAAAGCTATGAACATCCACTTCAATACATTTCTGTGAGCGATTAATGTATGATTCTTGGCCGCCCGTATAACGTGACGACTAATATTATCACATTGTTCTATTTAATACATATCTCTCATATTTTATAGTATTATACTAATATCATGATAAATTGTTTGTTTAATCGTACCCCATAGAAAGAAGCTTAGAGGTTTAAGATCAAGCGAACGCGCAGGCTATATCGAATGGCTGTACAAAGAGCGATCCAACGCAATGTTGAGGAAACTTTTCTCCTATTGACAATTGGCATCATTTTTAACACTTGTTGAAATCAATTTTCCTTCATTGATCTTTCTATCGTAGCTTTTTCTTCTTAATTTCAGCTGTAACCTGTAACGCCATGATGATAAGAAGATATAGCTCCATTTAAAAAAATATCGATAATCTTGAAACGTATAAAAAATATAATTACTATCATATTTGCCCTTCTAAATCAGATAATTTCTTTTCTCTAATATATTTTTGTATTGTCAATAGTGAGTGAGATATTGAAAGTGTTTAAGTTAGTTTAAGTTAATATAGTTGGATGTATATGTTATTTACTATTGAAGAAGTACTTATTCATAAGAATGTAGTAATTATACATTTCACCTAACGGTATATGTAAGAATTACATTCCTTTATTGCATATAGAGGACATATATAAAATTATTTTAAAACTAGCATTAAAAATTTACAATTTTAATAATTAGTAATTATTAATTATAAAATTCTAAAATGAATCAATAATAAAAACAATTTTTATCTCATTTTCTTAATAATTTGTACAAATTTATTGATACGCAGTAATATGAAATATACAATATATAAAAGTTTACTTTTACATAGATTTTTTAAGAATTATTCTTGAATTGCCATTATAAGAAGTATGTTAGCCATATCCCAAATATCATGAATCTTCATATCTATTAATTGCGATAATTTTGAAGCTATAATTCTTACTGATTTACAATCTATACACAAAAAGAATGCCCCACAAAGAACGATAGAAGCTCCCAAAAATAATATATTTGACATTAACATCATAAGACTCCTCTTTTCTTGTTGAGTCTTTGCTATATGTTCTTGCAACAAACATTGCAAATGAAAATATATTTCCTCCCTCTATAACCATATATATCTGTTTCATTAACCATGCTAATGTCATTTATAACATATTACTAATGTCTTACAAATATCTATTAATAAAATTCAAACCTGCAGATAAACTAGATCCAATAAATTTATAGTAAGTTCTTGCATATTTGGAGTATCCTTGAGTCCTGTTGCAGCTAAAAGAATTTCTACGCAATTTAACGGAGTGTAAAATGGCATTCTGAATCCAACAGTCTTAAATACCTTATATTCTGATAGAAAAATTACATTGGGTGTGTATTCAGATTTTTTGTCTATACACCGTAAGATACCAAGTACCTGTAGCATATAAAACATTAAGATACCACTATTGATAAATTTAGAATAAAATCATGTATATGTACTTGCGATATTCTTAACTTGTTGAAATGTGAATCCATTTTATTTGCTAATTGCAAACAAGACATGAGGTATAATTTTGATTGACTTGCTACTTTTTTACAAACTTGAGACCAAGAACTTTCTGTTTGATCAGCATTTCTATATACTTCCCAAAAATAGCTACACATAAATTTATCATATAAGTGAATAGCAATGTATCTAGTATCTGGCCCCAAATGGAGATATTCTGTTATTTTAAATATTGCATTGATAATTGGAATTGGTATAGCTGAAAGCAGTATAAATGAAAATTTTGTTGTTATTATATTCTATCAAAATAGGAACAACAAAGATATAACAAAGATATAAATAAAAATGAAATTAATATTAACAAAGAGATACAGTTTCAAATGCAATAATTACCTACAAATGGCATGTAAAATTCGTCTTTAGCTTTGATAAAACTTTCTTGCGCTTTAATGATTGATTGAAGTTCTTCTAGCCAATCATCAAGTAAAGGTTCTGTATTAAATAGATAGTTGTTTCAAGAAGAAAGTTTAGATTCATTATTTTTGTGTATTAAACATCTACATTTGTCTGTCAACACTCTTATTTATATGAAATGCTAATTACCAATATAAGAAGTATCCAAGTCCATATTTTCTTTGAAAAATTCTTGCTTAATACTATTATTATCAAATATTATTTAATAACATCACACACAACAATGTTACCTTTCAAACAGTATACAAGATACTACTTAAAAGAAGCTAATTGGCTGGAGCATAAGTCACGTGATACATTTCGCGATATATCGAAATCATACATTCAAATTAAAATTAGAATTCATTTTATATAATATTAAAACAAGACGTGTATAAGGTAAGCATTTTAAATGTATGACAAAATTTTATTTAGTATATATATACATTTTAATATTTTAATTAACATATTTTATTCTATGTTCATGCTTTCATTTTGATGTTGTAACTCTGTTAACAACAAAGGTTCATATGTCCATTTTGGAAATACTCTTTTGTATAAATTCATTAAAATCGTGTCCTGCGACTTCAGTTGACCATTAAATACACATTTCATATGACCATGAGTACCTAGGAAAAAATAGTGTCATTTTTTAATTAAATACATCAATTAAATTAAGAAACATTTATGATCTATTTACCCAATGGCTCTTTTATATGTCCTCTACGACCATATTTTGTTCGTAGTTCAACTGGTTTAAACCAGTTTATATCTTCTCGATGAAAGAACATAAATCTTATAACTGCTGATCGTTTATGTACTTTGTACGCATGGCCGCTAAGAACAACACGTTTTACAACTATTCTATCTGGATTCGCAGATAATACACTTCCAGTTGCAATTAATTCCTACAAAAATATTGTAACTTTTAATAATATAAGAATAGAATCAACCTTTAACTTGTATATAATTATTGCCTCCTTACCAATGATTTATTCAATTTTTGAACATAACATAATACTGGACATGGTGGAAAAATAATTGGAGCATACATGCTTGCTACGACAGTGTTCTCTGGACGAAAATAACGCTCATACTGAAAAATATTTCTATTCTTGGTAACAAGATATAAATAGAATATATTAAAATCTCACAGAAAATAATACATGCTTTATGTTTGTTTCCGTTTGTGTGTTGACTAAATATTGGGCACGCAGTGAATCTTCTAAATCCACATTGAAATATCAATTTTTCTTTAGATTTCACCGGTTGTGGACTAATATTAATATGTTTCAATGCCACATTTAAGACAGACATTTTGTGCTCGTTCGGTAGTAAACCAAATACAATTAATGGATGATTTTCCAATGAAGAAAATGCAATAAAAAGATCTTGCCGTACATTTACAACGTGAATTGTGATATACCAACCAGGCTAAAAATATTTGTATAATTTAGCATGAATAAATAATTAGTTTTTAATTAATCAAGTGTTTCATACCATAGCACCCTCTATTTCCTGAGATTCTTTAAATATACGTTTTCGCGTCCGATCAAAATTTTCAAATTGAAATATTCTAGCGTAATCAGTAGGAAGGTTTTCTTTCGGATCCCACGGACTTGTTCTGAATGATTCAAGTCCACGATATTTTTGAAACCTCTGTTTTGCTAACATATCTTGAGGTGTATCTACTTCGTCAGGAAATTGTGCGTCTATTTTTGCGTCTATATTTGAAAAATTGTGGTTAAAGATTTCAATAATACATATTCAATAATGTAATATAGATATATTTGACAAACATACTCTTCAAGTTTTCCATTGCTTCTTTTTCTTCTGTCATATCAATATTCTGATCGTATCGTTCATCAGGAACTTCGGACACAGTAATTGTCTCGTATTCTTCCTCGTCTTCTTCTGCATCTGGTCCACTATCTGCTTGAGACTTTGGTTCATCAACAGACATCTCGTCTTCTGATTCATAGCTCGAGCACTCACTCAATTCCTCTACAAAATGCAAGCAAAGAATAATATGTATCTCCAAATTTAATTTATGACTAAAAAACAAATACCTCCATCCTCATCAGGAATCCAAGCTGCTTGATATTCAGAAGTTCCTTTTGGGACTCTCTTTACAATTTTTTTTCTTTCAGCTTTAGCTTCGGCTAATTCCTCTTCTGTAGGCCAAGTTTGTTCAGCATCCATAGGGTCAGGTATATTTTCACTTTCGAGAGATTCCTAAAAAATTAAGAAAATTGATTATTGCTTTTAAAAATTTAAAGTTTTATTTTATTTCATGAAATTACTTGTTTTTCTGGATCTGCGCGTTCAAGAACCCGCGTGGATGGTTCATCGTCCATTGCATTACTATGTTTTCTCAACTTTTTCTCCACTGGATATGGATCTTCAGGTGCATCAATTTGAGACATTTGAAAATCTCCCAATTCAGGTATGTGTACTAGACCATTAACTGATAATGGTACGTTCCTAAGATATCCTGAGATCATAAGAGTTCCAAGCTCTGTGGAGTTCTATATAAAATCGAATTTGGATATATTTATCTTTTAATTAGTATAGATAATTATTACATCAATACCTACTTCATTACATTTAAATTTTATTTCTTCTGCTAACAAATGAGCTCTTTTGTCTCTATATGATACAGTTCTTTGCTTTTGAGTACCAACACGTCGTAAAACATTAAAAGCATCAGTGGGAGTATCTAATTGCAAAACTTTTTCCTCAGGAAGCCACTTGGAAAGTTTAGATTGTACATGGCTTTTAAAATCTTGACGTTTCTGTAATAAAGTTCGTGAAATTGAAATTATTTTTGTACAGAATATGATAATAAATATCAAAAACACAATACCTTTATGTGAAGACTTTCAAGATTTGTAAGTACTATTACAGGAGTTGTCAAACCTTGAGCAACACAGGGCATAATAATTTCTTTTCCCCAGTCATCAAGTACTTCAGATCTGGGACTATTATCAGACTTATTTGTAGCGGATGCAACAAAAAGAACAGTTGTAGCTATTTTTGCTATATCTAATGTGGCAAACAAATTACCAACTGGTGGGACCACAATGGAAAAGCGTTGCTTGAACCTAGGTACACTGTCGTAAAAAAAGATTGATAATCAATAATCCATATTTTTATTAATATCATTTATCATTTATCATAGTAGCATTATACCTTAAATGTATTGTACCACATGGACTATTAGTTATATTAGCAGATTCATCAGCTTTTGTTATTATTGATAATATATTATCAATATCTAGGTCTTCTTGTAATGGAATAATGCATATAAGAATAGGTGCAGAATGGGATCCACCAAAATTCCTTTTTTGCTGCAACACTTCCTCTCTCTTGTTTTTTCTAATTTGTGAAGATTGAAGCCTTCGGGCACTCTTCCCAAGATCTTTAGTAGCACGTTTCGATAAAACTTTTACTCCAACTTTTCCTATATTGGTTTCAAATTAGAAAATATAGAAAGCAGTAAAAAGCTATAATAATATAAATTGCAAAGAATTTTACCTTTAACCGCGCTACTTATTGATCCTTTACTACGATGTCTACCCGTTTTATGTGATTTATTAACTTGCTTAAATGCACCAGGCCGATGTACTTCTTGCTTTGTTATTCCCATTTTATTTGAAAGTATATATTCTTGTAAATGAAATATCCTTATAATAAATCTAACTGTTTGCCATGCGTAAAACCCCACGATAAGACATGTGTTGCTTCACTCCTCACATGCTCCAAGTTGCAGTTTCTTTCATTTTCTATAGATGGCAACGCATGGCTTGTTCATATACTAAGGATGCAATATTGTGCGATAAGGCTTGTAACGCCATCTGTAAAAGATGAAAGGAACTGCAACTTGGAGCATGTGAGGATAGCTGGCAACACACGGCTTGGCCTGGAATGAGGGATGTAATACTATGTGATTAACACACGTCTTCTCTGGCATTATATTCACTGACGAGTCGTCTGGGATAATTCCTATGTTTGCCCTAGAGAACCATAGGGAGCGTAAGAAACACTCTGATTCTTTGGCAGGTCGGTATTTCATAACCTGAGACACATGTTCCATTTAATGTCACGTCTACCCTATTCTTAGTCAATGGTCATACTGAATTGAGGTGAACTTTGGATAATTCATTGCTTATGCTAACATGAGTTAGTTTTGTAAAATGGCATGTTGTCAAAGTTATATCCCGGATTATTTTGCAATAACTGACATTTTATCTACTGAAGAACGAATATCTTGTAAAATTGAAGTAGATTTACCTGGTTTAGGTAATTTTTCATTTATTATTTTATTACTTACTGAGATATATTCTATAAAACTATACTTCAATTAGTCTACTTCAAAAAATGAGATATTCTCTATATTATAGAGATATACTCTATAAAACTGGATTAAGTAATAAAAACTAATAATATAACTTTTATAAGGTCCTAATTATATTTTGACATTATATTTGTATATAATCTATATAATAATCACAGTATATTCATATTATGTATACAATACCTGATAAGAATGATATATAATATTGTTAAAGATACGAATATTATTGTTTAAGGTTTTTTGGATCCTTCGTGTCAATCTGAGGATTTACAAGTTGGATCCAAAGTAGAATTTCCATTATGGCTAGCAGATGCATTAAAAAATTTACAGAATCCAGCAGTTAATATCGATATACCAAATATATACAAAGAAGGATACAGGTTTGATTTTTAAATTTTTATTTGTTTTTCAACAACATGTTATTTGAACAAATCTTTACGAACACTTTCCTGTATATACTTATTTATATCATTTGTGCTTTTAGAGAAATTTTAGAAGCAGATGCTGATGCTATAGTTTTAAGTAGATGGAATCCATTTTATTATGAATTAGGAATGCACGTAAGAAAATTCAGTGGCAAAGATTCTGAAATAATTGCAGAAAGTTTACTACAGGTAAGCGAATTATAGTAAAAATAGGTGCTATGTCTTTTTTATTTTTTAATAAGATATAGTGCCTCATAAAAGTATTCAAATACTTTTATGAATATATCATGTGTGTTATGTAAAACATTGGAAATCTTATAATTGAAAGATATTCTGATTAATCCATGTATACAGAATTGAAGTTACAAATTTCAATAACTTTATAAAACTAAAGTATCATGATAGGTAGGTCACAGCCAAGAATTAATTTCTATCTTTTCTAATATATTTTTCGAAATATATGGAGCCTTTTCGTTCTTCATTTTCAGACATTTAAGTCTCGTTTTCAATTAGTAATGGACTGGTCTCAGAATCTAACATCTGATCCTACATTAGCAATTCAACTTCCTCGACTTGAAAGAGATCTCTTCCTTATCGGTCGACAAGCCAAAGTTCGTCTTACGGAATGGTTAAAGATGGGTACAAATGAAATGGTTATTTCCGAAATAGCGACAAATTTGAAAAAACGGAAACGGGACAAATATGAACTTGATTAGCTTTTTCGTTTTACAAAGATACAGCATACGAATGTCAATAATTTGTAGAATAATGTTTTTATCAAGTTTTTAAATAATCTGAAAATGTCAATATTGTAGAATAAACTGAGTTTATTTAGAATAATCGAGAAACAGGTGCAAAACATTTTATAACATAAATCATATAACGTAACTTTTTTAAATTACATTTTTAATAAACTTGCATATTACTACCATATTGTAGAAAGCTGATTATTGGAAATATATTAATGTATTTGATATTGCAACAAATATTCTTTCATTTACTTAGAAATTAGAAAATAATTAGAACTTGCTTGAGTAAAAAAAATAAATACAAAAAAGTTATGAAAAAACGCACTTGTTATACATTTTATAATCATAATATTATCACTTTCACTAATTTACAGTTTCTGTATGGGCGTACACACATGCTACATAAAATGCTCCATTTTTATATTTATATATTATATTTTGCATTACATACTAACAATAATGTTACAACTTAAAATATTGTTATAATTAATTAATTACATTATTGTTTCTTATACGGTCATAAATACGAAACTTAACAGAAGTCGCGATGAACATTTGGAATTAACAACTTGTTTAGAATCTTTTAAATTATATTTCTTCTGCGTATATGCATTCTGTATATGTAGAACGATTATTTATTTTTTCAACGTATAGTTTTCATTTATATTTAATTACATTGTCACGATTAATTTTAATCTTATAATATAGTTATGTAATTTATAATTAATTTTAATTTTCGTTGTCAAAATTAATTTTAGTTTCCTAACTAACTATTACTCTAGACTGTTCATTTTTTCAATATTCCCATATAAAAAATATGCGTATTTTTTTTTAATATTTACTGTGTTTATAATAATTTCGAATAACATCAATTTTCAAATTCTACAAAATTTTTTACTCATAATTTTATAATAAATTTTGTAAACAGTTCTAATGAAAATGAAAAACAAATCATACTCCAAATGTACAGGACATTAACAAAAGTATGCGTACTCCTTTGCTAAAAAATAATTGCATTGCAATGGCGAGTGCTCCTCTCTTCGTTGAGAGAGGTGCTAACTACTTGCTAATTAGTTTTGATTTTTTATGTGGAATGTCATTTATTGCGCACAAAACCAAAAACATTTTTAGATGGTGAAAAAAATTCACGAAAATATTTATATTGCCTTCTTAATATAAACTCGAATATTTTATTAATATTTTTAGTTGATTGAAAAAAATTAAGTTTTGACTTAATTTACATGTTTTTAATTTACTGTTTTTGAGTAACAATATCAGTTTGTATTGTCAGTTAAAGCATTAATACATAATAACGCAAGAACAAAAATAATTTTTATGAAACATTTAAAAATAATTGTTATTATATTTCTAAATTAAAGAGACTGACGCCTATTGATAGTTTGAATATTTCATTCATTTCAAATAAATATTTTTATATTTACGATTCTTTATTAAAGATTTTATGCACTGAATGTAGAGAAAACATTCTAATTCAATTTGAAAGTTATTTAACATTAGAACCTAACAAGTTACAAATATTTCCTAATGAATTTTTTTCAAATAATACAAAAGAATTGTCTTGAATAAATTTCTTGACAAAATTTCAAATTTTATAAATGTATGACGTGTTACTTTTGTTGTTTAACCCCTTAACCTACAACTACGGGCATAGCCCGTTGTACAATGTTCGAGCCAAACGTAAATATCACGGGCACAGCCCGTAGTAGATGATCGGACCAAATTTAAATATTACGGGCATAGTCCATAGTACGATGATCGGGCCACATGTAACATATAATATAATATATAATAGCTTGTTTACGTTTTCAGCCCAATATTCTCGAACGTAAATCGTGGGTTAAGGGGTTAAATAATAGGTATTCTAAAATAAAAATTTGAAATTTTTTATATAAAGAGAATGGTTATAAACGATTTTAGGTTTTAATATTAAATAATTTGTTATGTATATTAAGAAGTATCTAGACTAAAAATATCTCCTATGTGTTAAACGAATGAGCATGATATTAAGATGAAAGTATTTGTTAAGTCTAAAATCTTTTATTTGACTGGTAAAAACAAAAAACCTTGTCATTGTAATACAATTCTAAATGTAATTAAAATGAATTTATTATGAAAGTCACATATTTTATATTGGCACATTTCCTAGAAAGTATTGGATTTTGAAATGATAATTACATGTTTGTACCCTGCTTTTGTAGGTGACATTAAGATGACTTGATTAGATAAAAATTAGTATACAAACATAACTTATCCTTATAAAATACTATGTACAATATTTAAAATCTTGTTGCATTCACTTATATGGATATTTATCGATGTGTAAGAAAGAGATAGTCGATATTGTCCAATATTCTTTTTAAAAGAATGTAACGTACGTTTAATTTACAAAAGCATTTATAAAAATAATCATCGTCATATTCTATATAACAAGAATAACAAGATGTTTTATTGTGGTAACAAAAATATTCTCTGGTAGGAATATATTATAAATAATATAATTAATAAACCCTTTGTATAAATAACTATATGCTTATATTCTATGAATATAACACTTAAAATTTATGATTGCATTTATGTGAACAAGATCCAGTTAAACAAAAGATCTTCTGATGAAAGTAAAAACAGAAAACGCTAATGAAACACAGCTCATGATAAAATAATACATTTAAAGAAAGATTGTTCCTCTATAATAGAGAAAATTCTTTCTTCATGTCTTTCTTTTCTTCCTTTTTGCCTTAAGCGAAAGATTTGTTTACTTCCGATGACATTTATGAAATGCGATTATTAAATATTATGCAATAAGAAGTAAATTAATGTCATTATATATTTAGTTTAAGTTCCAAGTAACAAAAGTATTTTATTACTAAATTATCGACCGATTTTGATTGAACCTTATGATTACGGTGATTAAAATGAGTAATTGAGCAATTGATTGAGCGTGACTTTTACTCAATAATCAGAAATTTGGTAACACTTCTGATATTCCTTAATCTAGTTCTAAAAAGTGTTCTTAAACTACAAACAAAACTGATGAATATGAATGCGAGAAGTTCGATAAAACTTTTTTAAAAATGATCACTTAAGTTGCACCATTTTAAAAAATAACAAATGTATTTGTAAACATAGCGTGTGAATAAAAAAATGTTCTGTTTATTTGTAAATCAAATAAGAATTATCACTAGCATTTAAAAATTGTTCAAAAAGATCACTAGAGATCGTTAAAAAATCTGAGTTTCTCGTTGCAAGTTTGATAAAACCTTGATTTTTAAAAATCCATTCTTGCTTTTGGGATCTCTTAAGAATTCCGATACCTTTTCGAAAATCTTATCGTATGTTTCAAGATCTTTAAAAATGTTTGAAAGCAGTCCTCCATCTTATGTATCATTTTTAAATATCTTCAACAAGTTCTTTTGATTCACTCAAATCACAAAAAGTTGAGAAGTAATAAAACAAATAATGTCATTTTAAAAAATTTTATGTTTTATAAACTATGTGGAATCTTTCCTTTTCCATCCATCTTAAAATTTGAGAATTTCTTTTAATGTATTCTCAATATTTGTCTCCCATTTAAACATTTGAAAATCAATCATCCAAGGAAAGCTCCTAGTTTTATGACACACAAACTAAATTCTTTCTTGTTTTTTGATAACTCTCCAATTATTTTCTTTTCGGTCAAAGAATTCGTTTTAAGAAACATCTTCTGGCATTATATTGCAATATGTTTTATGTGAAAAATTTCAAACGTTTAAGTAGACTACAAACTCTGATAGAATGCACCCTTGTTCCAAAAATCTGAGAAAATTAATACATTAACTCTTCCTAATAAAGTTTAATCATTTAAATTTGATCTTAAAAATCCTTCTGCATTCTTCCACAATATTTTAAGTTTCTGTATAGATATTTCACGTTTATAGAGTTGACGTGTCAGTAATTATGCGTTTTGTTAATCAATGCGCCAGAATCTTTCAACTCTAACGTCTTTTAATATCATTAAAAGGTTGATTCAGTTTCAAGACTGGGCTCCTGTTTAAACATCCTGAATCCTGTTACACTAGTCACGTCTTCTTGATTCGAAATAGGTGTAAGATCCCTCAGGATCATTACAGGACTTCCACTACTCAGCATATGATCCTGAGGGCTTAATGGAGCCATATTTGTTGGGGTCAAAGGACTGCTAGGACTCTCGTTGCTGCTCACATAACTACCAGGAGCGTTTGAAATTGGTATTGGAGTTGCAACACCGTTGATCTCTGCTGTTGCACCACCTAAGAGCATCTCTTGCAGCAAGTTGTCAATGTGTGCGACTCCAAACAGTCTGACAAACTGGATTTGTTCGATCATTTGCCAAGAAATGGACTGTAAAGCTGGTAAAGTTAGGAGGATCTCACCAAAACGACCACGACTATCGTATTGTCGGTCACTTATGTAATCCTCCAAGTTAATCTGAATTTGATAACGCAGTTGCTTGATTCGCTGTGGTTCACTTAGGCCTTTTGCATCTGTTAACAGAAAGATTTTGCATTATTTTGGGTTAAAAATGATATTAGTGAAAATCAGGTTCTTCCAACCAATTATTAATCCAAAAATTTTATGAAATAAATATACATATTGCATAACAAAGTAACTCAGCCCGTATGAACAAATTTTATTTTATATTTTCGGCTAACTTTTATTATACATATCTTTACACATATTAAAAAGCAGAGCACGCGTGCATTGCTTGCAATCCATTTCGGCATAGCGACTGTGACCGCGCCGATCATCAATTAAATCTCATTGAGACAATCGTTCTCGCGTGCCGGCAAATCTTCGCCGAATGACACGCAAATTCTACGTTGTTCTTCAACTTGACATAATCAATAGGATATTATCGAAGATTATCTTGGATCAAGAACAACCGTGGTCGAAAGACGCTTTTGTGACGGTTTTCTTAAGACCTCGTAAGAAATTGATTTAAATACATTAAAAGATTTCTTTATAATATGCATAATAAAAGTTTTGTTTGTTACTATGGGTAATAAGGGGTTTCACTTATTTATAGTAGGAGTTAATGGTGACAAATGGTGATTCAATAGGGAATAAGTGAGTGAAAGTGAAGAAGGGATGAGTGAGAATGGAAGATGATATAAATAATAAGATACTAATGTATTAGATGCAACTGTATATCAACAAATTTGTACTTTCTAAAATATTAAAAAAAATATTATACTATATATAGAAGAAGTTCAAGCTCTTGGAAGATATACCAGAAGGAAGCTAAGGCTATTCAAGTTTCTTAAAACAAAAATAAAAAGCTTATTTTACTACAATCTAACTTCAAAATAATAAAGTTATCCTAAAGAATTGTTATCTAAATTGGTTACTTTTAGACATCACTACATTTACTTATTAGATGAAACAAGCATTTATTTTTATGAAACCATGTTTTATTTCATTTCAAAAGAATATGATCAGGACAACAATGATTCTAGGGACGATAGTTCAGTCTACGGTTCTATTATTTGAATCAAAGAGATACTTACTGGGATCGAAAAAGACGATGGCCTTTAAGCAAGCAAACTCCGTATCGTCGATCTGCACCTCGTTCAAAGGCTTCACCAATTCATCCATTACCCTGATACCAACCTTGCTGATGTCCAGGTCCTGATTACGGCCCTCTGCGGATAATGATATGACTGATAAACACGGTTAAACCATTCCTATCGACACCTATTACCATTTGACTGAGCCCGGATTATAGTTGGGAAGTATTAAAGGAAAGCAACGACACCGCAATAACCAATACGTCAAACCTATTTTCTCTTTGCACTCATGCTACTGCAATTAGCAACGTGAAGACCGGACTCAGTCTCTACTAGCTACTACCCCAAATATTGGTCGTGCAATTTATTCAACGAGACTATCGATATCTTTGTAAATATTTAACTAATTATTTTGAACAATGGAATTTATAAAATATCTTCTTTTTTTTCTAATTAGAATAATGAAGCTTTTCTTTGTTGTTGGAATAGTGAAGTTTGAGAGGTACTTTAATCATTTTGTTTTATATTAATGGGACAGAAAGATAGGAAATTTAATCTACAATTTGAACTGAATCGCTAATAATCTATTGTAATGATTGATGTAATGTAGATCAATTGAAAGAAAAATTTGAATAATTGTATTTAATATTTTTTTGTGGATATGTTTGAATAATTACTTTTGGGAAACTTATAATTTTTTATGCTATCTTATAGTTCACTATAAATTGTATGAATTAACGTATCGACTGTCTCGGCTCACCATAACGATTTCAATGCCACATTATCCCAGTGTTAAGTACACGATTATTTTCCACAAAACTTTAACAGAAATAGAATAATACATAAGAATAAATTAAATATTTATTTTTAACATCTAGTGACATATGAGAGATGATTCATCATGCAATAGTTTATATTTTTCTCACCTATATTTTCCTATAGTTATGTCAGACCTATTTTAACAAGTACGAATTACAATTAAGAAACTTATCAATCACATGTAAACTCTACTTTTTACTTATAATTATTTTCTACTTGGTTACATGTAAGCTAAACAATTACAAATAAAAAAATTAAAGAAATGTTAGTTTAGCTGGTAATTGCAATTCGGTAAATCTATTATAGAAGTCTTAATTAACACTGTTTAAAATTAAGTAATTAAATTTTTGACATATACGTTTAAATATCATAAAATAAATTCCAGACATTATATCATAAGAACGACGTTTTCGATACTTTAGAAAATGAATTGTAAAAGTCGAAACACACAAAATAAGATACTCGCTCGGGAATTTCATTGAAAATAATTTTGAAGTACCTCAGATAAAGATACAGTAGTGGGATTAGTATGTTATCGCAAATTTGGAACAACCATAATATCTTAGATATCTTTCTATAATATTTTTCATAAAAATTTGCAGATAATTAGAAATATAATTTTTAAGAAACAAATAATTATAAGTAGAAATAGAAATACAAGATTAACAATTTACATTTTATCCTAACAATAGAGTTAACATAAAAGTTATAATGAAGTTGTACAAATTTCGTCAAATATTTCAATTTTGATAAAATAATTTTAAAGATATCTTATTATGTCTTTGGACAACTTTTTAAAACAAATGTGATTCATTCTTATCTCTTCCGAGACTCGCAATCTAATGAAATCTTATCTGTCGATGACATCGACGGATCGAATATTGCGATAGTATCTTTATTATGCCGGGATAATAATATCTTCAGTTGTTTCATACCGCCAAACTGATATCGTGAGTAATCACGAAAAAATATATTTCGATGCGATAATCGATTGTTAAGAAGGTTGCTTGGCAAAAAATTTCCCCTCCTTTCCTGTCTTAAGACTTGATAATTTTTTACAAACAAAATATATAAAAATTTCTTTTCATTTCTTTTAATTTTTTGCTGCTAAATCGTATTACGTATCATGTGATCTATAGTGAATTATTATCCAAACTATTATTTAAATTATTTTATGAACAATATTGTATCATCTCTTTTATACATACGCACTAAGGTGTTAGGGATGACCGAGATATATTTATTTATCATTTTTATAATCTTTTTATGAATTTTCATGGCTCTTTAAATCTGTAAATCAAGGTGAACATAGAGGATATTTTATTTCAATGAATTAGTGTTATAAATAGCTTAATGAGGTCCATAATCATTAGTGGTTGAATGATATACTGTTCAAATGACGTAGAGAATACTTCAAGCATGAATAGGAGCATTTATTTTATCAATTAGAAACTGTTATACCGGATTACATATAGAAATATAATTAGATTTAGTATTACAGTTCGTATGTTATGTTGGTAACAGTGAAAGGACAGTTGATAAAACTGTTTTGGTGAACATTTTAAGATATGTCACTATATTTTTGATAGGGTATTCCCATAATTATATCTATGTATTATACAGAGTGGTTGGTAACTGGTGGTACAAGCGGAAAGGGGGTGATTCTAGGCGAAAAGAGAAGTCGAAAATATAGAATAAAAATTTTTCGTTTGAGGCTTTGTTTTCGAGAAAATTGACTTTGAATTTTCGCTCGGTACGCGTGCGCTTTATCACGCCTCGTTATAACGGATTTCACTGTAGATTTAAAAAAAAATTAAAAAAGAAGATTAAAAAAAATTTTTATTCTATATTTTCGACTTCTTTTTTCGCGTAGAATCCACCCCCTTTCCGCGTGTACCACCAGTTGCCAACCACCCTGTATAGACTTATTTGAGCAAAATAAATATTTGATCCAGTAATAATAAAAAGTTTAGCATAAATTTGTAACAAGTTTATCATTCAATGTGTGAAAAATTAAATAATCTAATTTAAAGCAATTTATATGTATTTTCAGTAAATATACATTTTTTGTTTAACTATTACTGAAAGCTACGTTACTACTACAAGTAATTAGTAAATGAACGTTTTTAAATGATAGTTGTGTTAGTGTCAATTCTGTTGTTAACAATTTTGGGTTAATCTACAAATAATATGATTATTTAAAAAAACTTATCATATAAGCTTGACCATATAACCTCTTTTAATCCCTTGATGATAGCTTTTCTTATTTATGTCTTAATATTATTTATATCCAATTAAAATTTACTGTTATAAATTTTTCATTACATTATAAGAAATGTTTTTATTATATGAAACATTATACTGCAATCTTACAGTAATAATCACAGTAATGTAATGTGTATAATACGTGTATTGCATAATATAAAAAAAATCATGCATATTTTATTAGACGACAAAACCAAACTTCTTATATCACTATTACTAATATTTGATCGTCGAGGGATTAATCATAAAAAAGCGTGAACCTACCCCCAAGAAGGAACCACAGAGAAACGTACCAGGACAATTCTTGGTTATGATACAATTGTTTCCGAGAAGAAGGACATCTTGCAATTGCATGCTGCGTCTGGCAACACCTAGGAGAAGATGTTCACCCGCGTGTGCCCTTAAGAGTGCTACTTGATCGTCAAGGGTTAATTCGCTGAAAGCGGGTATGTACTTGGCCCATTCGACCAGGATAAGAAGTTGCTGCTTCATACTATCGCAAACGTCGTTTATGTTGGCGATTTGTTTTGTGCTCAGGTCTATATCGCTGTTCGGACTGCCTAGCTGTTTAAACATAATCTCGAATTACTCATTATGCGATTTATGTATATTGAATGGAGTAACATTGAAATATATTTTATATTAAATAAATTATTTCTAGTTAAGAGAATATATGGAGATTGTAGGTATTGCAATATAATAATTTATTACTCTCAATGTATAATGGTTCTACATCTCAATTGGCGCGAAATTTAAATAATTTCAACTTTAATACTGCGAAGATCGTAATCTATCGTTGAAGTATTCTAATGTTAAAATTACAACATTAAATTTGTTTCATTAAAACCAAGAAGCGAAAGAATAAATAAAGCTTAAATTTCACACAAACTGACCTCGAGAGCAGCACCGACTTGTCTACTAAGCATTTCCGCCTGAAGAAGAGAAACAACAGAAAGCCCACTTCCGTTGTTACTTTGTTCTTCATAGCTTGGCCTTCTACAACTTATCCGATCTCTTTCATTTTGTACGGCTGAAACAAAACAAGAAAATAGAAAGCTCATTTCACTCCAGTGATGACTTATAATGTACACAATTGACTCATTCTTACAAGCCCTTCTGTATACCGGCATATTTTCTTTGAGTCACTAATTAACTGCTTGAGAAGCCTAATGTTTTTGCACTTTCTTTTCTTTTTATTTTATCACGTATACTTCGTTTTTTTTTGTCATATTATAAATAAAAAGAAATATTTTTTGACAGATAAAATTATTACAAATATTAGGAAAAAGCATTATTAAGCTTTTTTGGAACTTTTGCAACGTCATTTATTGTATATATAAACTTGATTATAGCTTCAAGTTACTTTTGCTACTCATGATTCGATTTAACGTTAATCTTAAAAAAAATTGTTTGATAAGTTAAAGAATTTGAATAGAGTTTTCAGTGCTAATATTAGCTTCCATATCAAAGTTTATCATTCCACAGAGGTGGAAACTATAAATTTTTAATTAATGATTTAAGGTAAGTTTCCAGTCACCTAAAAAGCCCACAAACCGGTTAGGCTATTATAATTTTTCACAAATAATATCAAAGTCGTATAAAATCTTACTAATAACTTACAAATAATAGTAACTTTTTCCTAATTAAGTATATCGCTTGCTATAATTTATTTTATTAATAATATAATCGCCCATTCTTAGTTCTAATGATCATATGGAAAGAGACGCGGAATATTTATTGAACATGAAGATATTTATTAAAATGATGTTAGAATTTTTGCGCATACCTTCCTTTTTCATGCCAGCTTTGAAACATTTCCTTAATCTGCAGTACCTACATTGATTCCTCTTGTCCTTATCTACTACACAATTTCTACTAAATCTGCAACAAAAAAAGTATTACATTTTCAATAATTTATAGATTTTATTATATAGCAATTATACCGTATAATATATGGAGAAATAAGAAAATAGTTTGAAGAAAGAATTCACTAATCTAGGATTATATGAGATAAGCACTTAATGAATTCATGAATTAATTATTCACTGTTAAAGTTGATGTATCCTTTAACAGATACGAAGAATGAGAATTGATTATAATAAAGGAATAATTTGCAACGTGTTTCATTTTGAAATATTGAAGATTACAAATGAGGATTAACTTTTCATAATAATTTTACTTAGTATAATTCGCTAATAATAAAGCTATCAAGTAATGTTCATTAATATCTCCAATATATGTATGTCGTAATCAGTTATTATATAATCTTACTTCACATTCGTCATATTTTACAATATGAGAAATTTATAACTAAGTTTAACGAACTTATATAACATTTTGGTTTGTATCTACTTCATAATTTGAAAGCTAATTACCATATAACCTTATTTGATGCTTAACATATTTACTACAATCAATGATTTGAAAAATATGCAATTTGCAACAGGTTGAAGTGAGTACATCAATATATCATTGATATTAACATTTATCATTATAAACGAAAATATGTAGTTGATAATATGAGCAGTTTTTATCGAATATTACATAAGAATATTGTAAGAACATTTATCAAAAACTGCTAACATTAAAATTATCAAACAATTTTCAATTTTTCATTAGCCTGATTTTTGATAATTCAAGTGCAAGTCATCTAAGTTCTAAATTTCCAAATATACCTCCAGCTTATTGTTAAAAATACATTTCCCATTAAATCTATATCTTAACTGAAATTTAAAAATTAAATCGTTAAAATTATTATTAGGTGTTGTTAACATCTTGATTTCTACAAATATTTCGTTAATTTGTTAATTCGTTATATTATACGTATTTAAGAATAAAAAATAACTTGCTTAAAAAAATTAGAATAAAGACTTTAATTTATATATAACATGAATGAAATTTCAAGAATGATACCGAATTTATTCACTGACCGACAAATTTTCACTACTAGCTCATTCGAAAATGTTATCAATTATCACGAAAATTCATTAGTCATAGATATTTCTTAAATGGGAGATACAGCTTTTAAAACTAAACGAAAATATTTGAGTTTTAAATAGAGATAAAACTTCTAAGCAGATAAGTCATGGAGATTTTTACAAGTGCAATATTTCAAATATTTCATAAAAGTGAAATAAATCGCTCATTTTTCTCTGAAGCGAGATCCTCCGTTGTGTCTTATGACATAAATATCTTATGTTTAAAACTATTGCAATTATAATTAATACTCGATTAATTGAATTTCTGCCGATTGAATTCACTTATTCAAATATGAGCTCCTATTATGTGAAGGAAAATAATAGATAGTGAAGGGGAGGGGGGAAATATGGTATGCTTCTATTACATGAACTTTAACTATACGTATCGACTCCAACAAACATACTGTTTGCCTGCCGACAAGTTCAAATAAATGAAGTTGGCCTCCAAAAATTTATTCCGGCCCCGGGTGAAGATCTAATTTTAAAGGAAAGGAGAAGAATTTCACCAACCTGCAGGTGTAAAGATGGTTCTTTCTGACTGATCGCCGGAAAAAACCCTTGCATCCGTCGCAAGAAGCAGCGCCATAGTGCTTACCAGTTGCGCGATCACCGCAGATCGCACAGTGCTGCGAAAGCACGCCACCTACCCCCGATCCTGGCAAACTGAGAACCGATCCTCCAGCTGCGCCCGCCCCCATGCTTAGATCGGCATCTGTAATATGACGAATTTTCATTTACTATTTTATTTGTAGATAAGTGAAACTTAACAAAAAATTGGTGATCATTTTACCGTATTCAAGAATTTCGAAAAGATACTATACGTATTCTGATAGTCACTAATTCCTTTTTCCTAGCATACAGCACTGATAGCTGTGAATATGGTTTCCAATTAATTCAACGAATCCATTAGGAAGAGAACGAAACATTTTACTTCGAAAATTTGTTCACGAAAAATTTGATTAACGTGGTAGTAATGAAAGGAATTATCCACACTAGATAAAATTATACGTTTATTTGTAATGCGTAAATGTACCTGTTTATATACACATCAATCATTGTAAATATATGTCGTATCTTCATTCCCTAACTATCCAAATAATCCTCCAGCTGTTTATCATTTTCTATTTGCTGTGTTAGTGCTTCGTATCTCTTCGACAAGTCATTTATCATAGCTAACTGTGTTTCAACTTTCTACTCGAGTATTTCTAGCCAAATACGACTATTTAAGCTGCGTTAAAATAAAATTCCAAAGGGCTAGAAATATGTATTTGTTACAAATATAATCGAAAAAATTCAAATTAAGCCGTCAGATTACAACAAATTTTTCTTCCGCCTAAAATCACAAGCGAAACAATTCCACTGTAGACCTAGTTCGAACCAGACAGCTAATTGCAAGCTACGAACAATAAATGATCCACTTTCAAGCAGACTTATGAATAGATAGCTCCTATCGTAGCTGTACAGATTGCTATGTACTTTACTCATTTGTCTAGAAATATCTTCCCAGAAAATACGAATTGGACATAATTTTACATATAAAATGCAAAATTAAAATAGAAATATAAATATATCTTATCTTTATCAAATTAATGATAATCTAGAATCAAATTCCGATGTCCTGCCAACCAACAAACTTGACATCAATTCAATACATTATTTTTATTTGTTTGCGTTTAAATCAATAACCTTGGTTCAATAAAGATCTTCCTGAATATCGATTCAAGTAACATGAAAAAAAAACCTAAACGGTATAAATATAATCTAGCAAACGGATAACATTTCCTAGATAGGATAAAACCAAAATCTTGTTCCGAGAACGAGGATCATTTCTTTATCGATACGAGACATATATACCTATAAATGTCGATATTTAGTGATAAAGAGCGTCGGATACGTCGATTTCTATGCTAGCGCGTTTTCTTCACGAATCTTCTGTTAACAATAAACCTACTGATAAGTCGCGTTCTTTATCAATCACGAATACGAATGTACATGTGTTCATGAGTTAGATACATTGTTGTCTTCCCGGGGAAATTTTCAAGGAAATAATTACAACTTTATAAATAGATCTGCATGATTTTCAGGAATGACTTCTTCTTATAAAAATACAATTCTCAGCAACTTGAAATCTCTGGATGTCCAACTTTACGCTCATGCGACGATACCGAGGAAATTCTCAGCTTCGTAACGATTGTTTTTTTTCCATCTTAACTATGTTATTTAGTTTTATCATAGCTATGGAATATTTATACTTTTCATAATTTCCGGTGTTACGTGAAATTTTGCAATTAAAAATTTTCAAGAAAATTCACGGAAACAATATTAAAAATCCAAAGAACTTGTTAGCTTGAACGCTGAATTCTTCAAATCTTTGATTCCTAAATTTTCTACTATTGAATTAAAAATACAAGTTCTTCGACAACCGCGGAAGATAAACGAAGAAATCGACGACTAGAGAGAAAAAGCTGGAAACTGTTCTCTTTATTGTTCCAACTGGTCAGAGTGTATCAATGATCACTGGGAACAGGACCAGACGTTCAAATATTTATCCATCTTGTTTTCGTGTTATTTTTAAAATTGTTCGCGATAGTCGTTAAGAAATCGTACTAATACCGCCGTAAAAATAGGTGAGGTATCAGTGTTGGGATAACAAGCGGCTTAAGAGGCATAACGTTGGAATAATACGAAAGAAGGAGCCAGAAGTGTTAGCACTTGCTGAAACAGGAGGCAAGAGTTTCGCTACTGTATTAACATTGAATACTTTCGGTAAGAGATGTATATGTGCATATAGTGAAATAAGGCGAACAACAAAGTGAGATTATATTGTTTACAAAATAAATATTTGTCCGAAAAGGAAAGTAATTAAGCCAATAATCTCGAAGTAAACAAGAAAAATTGCAATATAGCTAATTGCGGAAAGTTAGATAAAACTTATTAAATATTATCTGAAATGAAAAGGATTAATCTTTTGTGTATTCAAATTTAACCATGACTCAACAAAGAAGGTATCAATATGATTAAATATTTTTATATATATATATATTATTTATTATACAACAATAATTAAATAATCATCATTTACGTTCCTTTTAAATAAATAATGTTATATGAAATTGTTTGTTATTTTATTTTCATAAATAAAGTATCGAATTTTTATTTCACTGCGATCGAGAGACGATAAGCTATTGCACAGAAATTACAGTTTTATTTTCACGCGGTAAAAACATGGAGTTAGGTCATCACGGGGTTAAGTATGCAAAGTACTTAGGGTCCTTGAGATAATATTTGAATATTCCTGATAAACTATTGCAAAAAGACTTTCAGCTCGCTATGAAATACCGATAACGTTAAATCTTCAAGTATCTATTACCATTATAATTCAATCTAATTACTAATTCTATTATGATGTTCTTTTCTAATTATACAATTTTGCTTAGTATACGCTTATTGATTCAGCATTAGTAATTCGTGTATTATTGTGGCCTTTAATAATTTACTATAATTATAAGCCTATTAAATTGCTATAAAATAAATTGTGTGAAATACTTTTAATTCGTCAATACAATACAATTTTAATTTTTTTTCAATTTTATATTATTAACGCAGTTGATAAAAAATTGTTACTAATAGGTTTCATAAGTATTTCTGTATTTATATCTATATATATTATTATAGTCATAAACCATATATACCATTTATACTTTTTAAAACTCACACTTTTGACATTTTAAGTGATGAATTTAGGGGTCTTACAAAGTAAACACTTTGTAATATCTCTAATCCGAGAATTATCTTCATCTATCAAACATCGACCATATTGTCAACAGAGTTCAGTCAACAGTAAGAATATCTTGACGAAGAGAAACGAGACCATCGTAAAAGTATTTCATAATAGGACAAGATAGGAAAAAGAATGAATGCTGATTGCGATGGAAAATGATGTAGGAATAAAAATTAATTAACCGTATGTCGTAAATTATTCCAAGGACCGTTCACTGTTTTTCCTTCTGCATATATTTTTTTCATAATACCTGCAATGTCTCGTGCGCATAAGATACAAACGAGTTCTGCATTATCGGTCGTAACAAGCTTTTTTCTTCATTTTTCTGACCCAGTGACATCTCACGTTCTTATCTTGCAGATTTTCCACGCTTTCTGGCCGTGATAGATAAAGGATTCCTTTGAATAATAAAACAGCGGACAGATGCTATTTAACGCATGCCACTAGACGATGCATAGTTTAATACGTTTAACAAGAAATATTCCACAAGATCAAGAGATTGTTGAACACTTACTATCGAATAAAAATTACTTTTTAAATTGTTTTATGGCCAATGTTAATATCATTCGATAATGCTATTCAAATGTTAAGCTTCAGTTTAATGTTTATAAGAAATATTTTATGTACTTTTCTGTAAAATTGCATATACAAAAATGGTGTTATGTACGCACGTGAGGGAATATTTTGTTGCATAGATAATGTATAGGTTATGTTTTTAGCAATTAAAAATTTGGAGAAATTTTTCCATATGAAATTTTGTTTGTATGAAACGATTATTCTAAATGGATTTTAAAATGCAGACATTCTCGAGACATGAATAACGGAAGCGGATAAATATCACTGAAATTCGAATTATTTTTTTGAAAATAAAGCCATGGTATAATGCTCGACCTTGATGATGAAAAGGAAACCATCAGCCATTCATACCACTCATTGAAATCTTCAATTCAATACTGAACAATTATTTAATTTTGTTAATATACAACACGAATAATAATTATAATTAATGATATTTCACATATCATTCAAATATATCATTTATAATATATAAATTAGACAGCAATGTGTGGCATAAATTTGATTTTTAAACTTTGTGTTACACAAACTTATCATGCGTTATGTTTTATTAGTTTCTGAAAAAATACTTTGCAAGCATTCATTGACATGCATATGCATAATTCCTTAGGTTATCGATGTTTAGTCTTTTATATTCAAATTTTTATTTTCATTATAAAAATAATATATAGATGCCTTTAATGATGCAAGCATAAATGAAAGTATAATGGATCATTCACATCGTTTCAAATGAAATGCAAGTATAAAATTTCCGTTCGATAAGTTTAAAATACTTAAGATTAAAAAAGTAAATTTTTATGCAACTAATATTATTGCGTAAAGAATATTATTGTTTTTACAAGTAATAATCAAATTGAAACTATTTAGTATATATTAATTAATAACGTGAAAGGAATGGTTTTAAATGGTTGACATTCTTTATTTACTAACATTTCATTAAAAGATGTTCAATGTATATACATACAAATTCACGTTTCCGGTTTTTAGGAAGTGTCAATAAATCAACAGTAAAGATGGAATGGAAGAAAGAAAGTTGATGAATTACATTAAAAGCGCTTACTTGAAATTCATATTAAATTCAAATTATTATCACACGTGTATTGTCGAGTATACGAAGGAATAGAAAATTTGTATATAAAATGATGAAAACGTCGATTCAACGGTGATGTGGTTTGTGAGAGGGAGAACAGCTATTAAAATCAAGTAGCTTACGAAATGATTTATGTATTTCATAAATAATTCAAATTTAAAATTCCTTAAATCGCAAGCCATGTTCAGCAAACCACTATTTACTAAATATATTAAATTAACGTTACAATTGAAATTTAAATGAATAAGAAATAAATATTTTCTCA